TTTTCCCCCTCAGATGTTGTGCATTGTCACATGTTCCAGGAAGCAAACCCAGGAAGTAGTGGGAGATGGATTCATCTGCCCTCAGTGAAAATGGCCGACATAAGAAGAATGAGGAGGAAAAGAATAACAAGGTATGCAAGGAAAAAAAGCCGCCAATTATCTATAGGTAACTGCTTGTAGATTGCCATTGCTACACATTTCTAAAGGGATCCATTGTGGTCATTTTTAGGGTAACGGGTAGGTTCCTCTTTAATGTGTCGGTACAATTGGAACAAGAGAGAGAAAGAGAGGGAGAGGGAAAGGAAGGGAGAGGGAGAGGGAAAGGAAGGGAGAGGGAGAGGGAAAGGAAGGGAGAGGGAGAGGGAAAGGAAGGGAGAGGGAGAGGGAAAGGAAGGGAGAGGGAGAGGGAAAGGAAGGGAGAGGGAGAGGGAAAGGAAGGGAGAGGGAGAGGGAAAGGAAGGGAGAGGGAGAGGGAAAGGAAGGGAGAGGGAGAGGGAAAGGAAGGGAGAGGGAGAGGGAAAGGAAGGGAGAGGGAGAGGGAAAGGAAGGGAGAGGGAGAGGGAAAGGAAGGGAGAGGGAGAGGGAAAGGAAGGGAGAGGGAGAGGGAAAGGAAGGGAGAGGGAGAGGGAAAGGAAGGGAGAGGGAGAGGGAAAGGAAGGGAGAGGGAGAGGGAAAGGAAGGGAGAGGGAGAGGGAAAGGAAGGGAGAGGGAGAGGGAAAGGAAGGGAGAGGGAGAGGGAAAGGAAGGGAGAGGGAGAGGGAAAGGAAGGGAGAGGGAGAGGGAAAGGAAGGGAGAGGGAGAGGGAAAGGAAGGGAGAGGGAGAGGGAAAGGAAGGGAGAGGGAGAGGGAAAGGAAGGGAGAGGGAGAGGGAAAGGAAGGGAGAGGGAGAGGGAAAGGAAGGGAGAGGGAGAGGGAAAGGAAGGGAGAGGGAGAGGGAAAGGAAGGGAGAGGGAGAGGGAAAGGAAGGGAGAGGGAGAGGGAAAGGAAGGGAGAGGGAGAGGGAAAGGAAGGGAGAGGGAGAGGGAAAGGAAGGGAGAGGGAGAGGGAAAGGAAGGGAGAGGGAGAGGGAAAGGAAGGGAGAGGGAGAGGGAAAGGAAGGGAGAGGGAGAGGGAAAGGAAGGGAGAGGGAGAGGGAAAGGAAGGGAGAGGGAGAGGGAAAGGAAGGGAGAGGGAGAGGGAAAGGAAGGGAGAGGGAGAGGGAAAGGAAGGGAGAGGGAGAGGGAAAGGAAGGGAGAGGGAGAGGGAAAGGAAGGGAGAGGGAGAGGGAAAGGAAGGGAGAGGGAGAGGGAAAGGAAGGGAGAGGGAGAGGGAAAGGAAGGGAGAGGGAGAGGGAAAGGAAGGGAGAGGGAGAGGGAAAGGAAGGGAGAGGGAGAGGGAAAGGAAGGGAGAGGGAGAGGGAAAGGAAGGGAGAGGGAGAGGGAAAGGAAGGGAGAGGGAAAGGAAGGGAGAGGGAAAGGAAAAGGAAGGGAGAGGGAGAGGGAAAGGGAAAGGAAGGGAGAGGGAGAGGAAGGGAGAGGGAGAGGGAAAGGAAGGGAGAGGGAGAGGGAGGGAGAGGGAGAGGGAGGGGGGGGGGGAG